GGGAAAGCGCCGCCGCCATGGCCGCGGAGGGAGCGGTAGGCAGCTCAGGGGACCGAGCCAGCCCTCGGCGTTTCCCTCAGCCCACCGGCGAACGCGGGGCTGTGTGACTGGCTTTACCCTGAGGCTGAGGTGGTGGGAGGTGGACCGCACCACAGGCCTCCCTCACAGCACCACAGCTGTTTTCCTCATCCCGGTTCCACACAGGGTCACGAGTGTGGCTTTCAGGAGAGCCCCTCAGCTGTCCCAACAACAGCCCGACTTTGATACAAGCAACCAGGTTTAGCCGTGGCTGCCTTATGTTCTGACCGCGCTAATGGACATCGTCGAGTTTTGGAGGTCCTTCTGTCACAGCCTTGTCCTGTGTCTTGCCCTATGGACTTTCTGGAACATAAGTTTGGGTTAGGTTTTTGCAGAAACACCCCCAAAAAACCCAGGACTTCACTCAGATTTGCTATAGACTTCTGTAAGACCTGATATTTTTGTGTTAGCCGCCCTGTATGTCACCTTTTGAGGCATGGGGACGCTAATTCTATCCACCCGTTGCTCCTGAAGACAGAACTTTGAGGTAGTAAAAACATGACAGGTCAGGTTCATGTGTCTTAACTTTTGCTGTTGCAAGGGAAACACAGGTTTGCAAGCTGTTAGATATTCCAGAGGATAATGGGAGCACAATAAACATACTTCAGGATGCTGTCACAAATTGACTTTAACAGCTTTAATTTTAAAAAAATACTCCACTGGGAGGGGGGGGCGATACCGTGTTTCTTTGTTTTTCTCCAAGTAGATTAATAACATGCTTTGAACAAAATACCCGTGTGCCGGCCTGGAATGAAACACATCAACACTTCTCTCAAACACTTTACAGGTAATAGCAAAAACATTTTTAGACTAAGTGCAAATTTCATACACTGAAAAATCTGTGATACAAGAGTCTGACAGAGAAACATTTTCCAGATGTTTCTCACCAAACTTTAAAAAGGCAAAAGTCTTCAAAAGGACCCTAAAGCTTCTTTTTAAAGAGGACTGAAGACTCCAGGTCTTAAAAGCCAATTAAACTTTGTCAGCCCTCCCTAGTGTTTTACATACTTTTTGGAGTATTTGGTCTTCACCAGAGAAGCTTCAAGTTCAGACCTTCAATTAAATTCCACATGCAGCAGAGTATCTTGCTGACAGGGAAAATCCGTAACACACAAGAGCACGGTAGAGTGGGACACTTCACACTGCAAAGAGTTTGTGTGTACAACTGCGAGAAAGGTCACAGTAACCCTAAATAGATCAGACATGATTTGTACTCAAAAAAAAAACTTTTATGTTAACTATATTTACCAGCTGCATTCTGCTCAATGGATGCTGAAATACTTAATAAAAAAAAAATCTTTAAAGATTCAAAAAATAAGTATTCTATCTTGCCAAAGTCTCCTCTTTCTAGAAAGCCAAAACACATTTATCAGGAAGGGGGGGGAACATAGGACAACACACAACAGAAGAGTTTGCTTTAAAAACGTATGAAATCACACTAAAAAGTCTATTATATATAACCTACATCTTCCACTCTAGTTCACAGAGAATCTGACAGCTGAATAGCGTGCTCAGATTTCCTGGGAGACTTTCCGAGTTCATAACATAATTTGTAGTTAAAATACTTTATTTCCATTATAGTCTTCAGATCATGAGGCATGTGTAAGATTTTACCATTGCAGACCCAGAGCCCTTAAAGACAGTCAACCACCTTCAGTAATCTACCTGATAGTTGACGGCTACTTTAGATAACCTGAGGGTTACACCAAACACTTCCAGTTTTTCATCACATCACACCGCAGTTCTCTTTGGTTGGTGTTCCGAGAGGTGAGCCGGCACAGGGAGACAGAGGAGGAGCATGAACAGGGCCCAACTCATCATTTAGTAAACAAGAGAGCATCCTCTGGAAAAAAAACCCAGGATGTTAATGGCATCAACCCACCAGTATAAAGCTGTTAATCAGCTTTATGGAAAGCACTAATTTTGCCATTTTCTAGCCCTTGAATACTTATATGAATTTAGTTTTCATAGTAAACTGATGACAGGAGAGGAACCACCAAAACGTGGAAGTGATTTTAAAGACAGAAGTCTTGACCTTAAAGTGTTTCCCTGCTACATAACTCACACTCACCAGTCCATTTCACTCATTGCTCCCTGTCCAGTTCTCTTTTCCTGTCAGGACGCTCTCTTCTCCACAGTGCCTGTGTCTTACAGGAGTAAAAGCACACAGGAGATACCTCTGCTCTCAAGGGCAGCACAGTCATGAAGTCCCGCTCCATCTGGATTCTAAAAGC